TCATCTGATTTATCTGGGTGACATTTTTTCAAAAATTTCAGAAATTGCAACTTAGATGGTTAGATAGAATCATTGCCCAAAACTTTGTAACACAAAAGACACATAGGCATTTGGTTGTTGGAAGTTGATGAAACCAAACTTCATATAATCAACGCTGTACTGTCTACATTTTTTTAGAATCGGACATGGCGTCAGTCAACTGTGGACAAAATTTATTAATAAGTTATATAGTTTAGCTTTTTATTAATAAAGCAAAGTCAAATTTAAATCTAAAGTGACAGCATACAGACCAATCAAGTTGATGCCTATTTTTTTTAAATAGTCAACAGATATGCTTTGCTAAAATAAAGGAAGTTTTTTCAATAATCCTAGACGACGTCGTCTTTAGGATCTAGATCTTTGCAAATTTGAAATAATATACACTTATATATTAATATTTTTATATATGAGGCATAATATATTGATTTCGATTCTTGACTTGAAAAATATTAACCTTGTAAGTCAATTATATCTATTATAAGTGTCTTATTTATCAGATAGATATTTTAAAACTGGACTCAATGATACTTGAGACTAAGTTTTTTGTGTTATTTCTTGATCGTTACTATTTAGTTAACTCAATAAACAAATTAGGTCACAATAATATATAGCATCTTGAAATCGAAAAAAAACTTCTCTTTTCGACAAAATAGTTTATTTATTTAGTTGGTTCTCAAATTATTGATACTCTTTCCTCATTTCTTCTCAATGGATATGAGGAAGTCTTTTACCATATTCAGAAAATTTCTTTCTTTTTTGTTAAAAAAGTTAGTATTTCATGAAGGTTTGAGTTTTGGTGAATGATACAGTTTCAAAGTTAAGAATGAAACGGATCCTGTTAGAAAGCAGTTAAAAATCAATCATTATAATGGTCGAGCTAAAAAAATCATATTTTGAATCTTGAAACATCTAAATATATTGTTATATATTAGAAAAGTCTATTAAATAATAAATTTATAGTAACCAGAATATATTCGCCTTACTGTTACACAAAATACAAATTTTCTATCAAATACTAAAAGAAAGTTTTTATCTGACAATGAAACTACTAAATTATGACTTTTTTAACACGTCTCTCGTAAACTATGGAATTGCGAAGCTGCGGTTCTTGCAGCAAAACATAAAATATCTAAAAATGCATAATATTTCTACATATTTTATAATTAACTGAAAGATTGTATAAACTACATTATTTTTGTTTACAGTTTTTAAACAACCGCTGCCAACATTTCACTGGATGGAATTCCACTTGTAAGTGCGAGTTATGTGAAATTCTTAGATCACGTACAATAATTTATATTTCTACACACTGTTTTTGTATCTCGGCACATTACTTTCATAATTTCTTATAGCCTTTTTACATGCAGCTATATATAAATGATAATGTTTCAATGTGGATGTTGCAGTCGAGGTCTAATTCGTATACATAAATTGGATTTTTTTTTAAATTGCATAAACTTGATTAAAATTATATGAAAAACTTGTTTTCATTCGAATATTAATTTAATTCATATTAATATTAATCAAAAAATTAAAATTAAGGAGAGCCGTTGTTCGTCAATTTTTGCATGTTCATATTTTTCATTTCACATAATTTTATGCTAAATCGACGGATATCATTCCATTATTCAATTCAGTCATTCATGTTACTCATTGAGAATTATAAATTAGTGATAATTTTTGAAACTAACGGTAAAATTTATTAATTTTTCAAGTAATTATTTATAGTACTCAAATATTAATAAACAAGCGAATGAAGAAAAATTCGTACAGAATATAAGAACAATATACGCTCTCAATTTGATTTTTCATTTCTTACGTAAGTAATATAGTTAAACTAATTTTTATTGAATTTAAAGAAGTTGAATTTTTATACAAAGAAATTATGTATACTAAATGAATATGCTACTCATTTGGATTCATACTTAATCACAACTCTTTTAAATATTTAAAATCGGTCCACGATCGAAGACGCTAAAACAGAAGTGTGCAACAATAAATAACAACGAAAAAAATTAATATTATTTCTATGAAATCTGCAATTCTTGCAATATATTTATCACCAGCACAAATTTTACTATCACGTTCAAATTACTGTACAATAGTTTCTTTAAAGGAGCGCCTATTAGATATAAGCTTTTTCATAAGATTAGATATAGGTATCACCTCAGCATGAAAACTAGAGCATGTTTTTATCATTCACTTTTTTGCTTTAACAGTTGGAAATTTTGGCTTTTGACAATTATAAGTATCAACATAAGCACGGATTAATTCAATATTGAGTTTGTTTCAACTTTATACTGCCATGTAAAAAGGCTATTTGATATATTTTTTTTGAATGTGGGAATTTGAACAACAATAAAGTAGAAATAAGTCAATTGAATATATGTCACTTTTCTTGAAAATTCGATATAAATAACACTCTACTAAAAAAATATTTGTATGATGATTGGCAGAGCATTTTTGTGAAAATTTTGTCTGTGATTGACAGCGAAACAGATATATCTAATAAAATATATAAAATATCAAAATTACAACATTGTAATGGTATAGGTGTAATCTATCATCTTGAGATCTAATTATCTAGATTCGAGAAGAATATTTTCTTGTTAATAAGGCGATAGGTAAGTTTGTATGTGAAACTACATGAAAAATGTTTTTTAAACAAAATTCTTCATATTTAAAAAAAAATCTCTTAACTTTCATTTGGTGATTGATGTTTTTTACATATATATTTATATTTTTAAAAAACATGAATTTTCTAAAAAAAATTGTTTCTTATTTTGAATTTTGATCTTTAAAGAATATTCGAGAGATTTATGCATCTAGTTCAATTAGTTCATGAATTTTATAAGAAAATTATTAAAAAAAATTATATAATGATACAAAAACCCTGTTTTATTAGGGATTATCAATTATACATTGATTATAAATTATTTTAATAGTCATTAAGAATTTGATACAGTGATGACAAATACCCATTTATAGCATCAAACGCCCATATTTTGAACTTTTTTCCACGCAATTTTAAAATTGCTAAAATTGTCTGAAAAGAATGAGTAATTACTTGTTTCTCAATTTCAGTTCATATAAATCAAATAGTTTATGAATCTTTAAAAACCGAATCATTAAACAATTGTAACCTAATATGTATACATAACAACGCACGCACTATTTTTATAAGGTTTTCAAAATGCATAGAACCTCCTAATATCTCAAGAGAGATTAAAAATAAACATATTTTTGCTATTTCAATCATTGAGTTATTAGAACAATTAAACAATTTTAATTGGTATCGCAAATACATTCTTCTAAGAATGAAATTTATAAAAGCAGGTTTGGCTTTCCTTACTAGGGTCATTAGGACTATTTCGAAAATATATTAATTTTTTTTTTTTTTTCGAAAACAAAATATAGAATTAAACCAACTATAGAATTCTTCTAATATTTAAAATCATCCTTCAAAAAATAAAGAAAGTTTTAAATAATTCAAATAAAATATAGGGTAGGGCGTGGTATAAAGATACAATTTGAATTTCAGTAATTATTCTGTCTACGCCAAATAAAATAAACACATAATAATTATCACTATGTTGAGTATATTATTCCATATTCATTCCTAATTATAAAAATGTTTTTTTATTGTTCTAAAATTTGTCATCTATTTTTTCTACCCCAACAGAAGACAGGAATATCCAATATTTTATTTGTAATTTTAAAATGATATTAGCTGGATTATTCAACCAATGCATAATACAAATTTCATTGGCACATTTTTTACAAAAATCACACTGTACTATAACCCTGATCTGGTTATCAGAAATATTCAGCAGCAGTGTTCAACTAACTACTAATTTAATATGTCTCTTGCTTTTTTTTAAACTTCTTTAGTTTGCAATTTACTATTTTCTTATTGTCTTATTGTCACCCCACATGTAAGCTTTTATAGAGATTACATTGAAAAAAAAAAGGTTGATTCTAATTTAGAAATAACAATAACAATATATCTAATAAAACAATTAAATAACGTATACTTAAATATTATATTCAGGCATTCTAAACTAACTCAAAATCAGAAAATCAAACAACGAAAAAAATACTTCTGTTAAGATTATTGATCCATCGCCGTTTGTCTTCAGATAGCGACATCGTAAGAATTATGGTGATGCCTAGTTACAAATCTTTTAATTTTTAGTTCAAATAGTATTAAATCTATACTTTACTTGTTTTGAGATAGTTATGGTGGACCATTTTACCCGTGGACCTTTAAACTCCGCTTTACCTTTTTCTCTCTTACAAACAAAATAAAAGGCTGATATAATATCTATTATTATTGATTACGATTTGCTTATGTATAAATAAATAAACGTATGTCTGAACATTTTATTTATATAATATTTTTATGTAAAACTTCATTGTACAGTAATTTAGCAGAATACCGTTCGTAATTATATTTCATGTTTTAAGAGCACGTTTTTAACGCTTAACTTATTTGGCGTCTTCTAACCAACGACTCAACATGCGGCTAGTCTCCTATTTGGGAGCTGAACGAAAATACGAGAATAGCCTATAATATTGAGTCGTGATGGTCACGGTTTGCAATTTTTGAGTTTACTGCCGCAAAGGTGGCGAATCACAGTTGAGGGGTGATGTAAATCAATAATTCCAATAAATAATTGGAACCATCAAAATCCAATTTTTATATTGTAACTATAATATAGTACAATGTTAAATGTATACATTATATACGACTACAAGATATAAAATATTCTTGATCACGCGTAAGGAAAGTATGGTAAGAAGTTGCAAATGATTACAAAATCAGATTGCAGGTAATTACAGGTAGCACATTTATAAATTTCCTTGCTTAATAAATATGTAATTATTTGAATAAACTGGATATTGAAAGACTTCATATTACCCAAACATAGATTTTTGATTATCAATATTGTTCGTTTCAGATTTCTACTCTGGTCTCGCATCGATCGCTGTGCGGAAGCGGCGCATCGTTCCCGTCAGAGTCAGGAAGCGGTCTGACATGTTCCGAGCGAAGCTTCCGCGCCGTTTTGCGCGTCGGCCAGGCGGTCAACCTTGCAGTCGAACGATTTGTGACTGTAGGCGAGACGATAGCTGACGATAACACCGAAATCAAACGAGACATGTATGAAGCATGCAAGGAGGCACGAGAAGCAGGTGAATTTTTAAATTAAGTCGAAACAGATTACAACTGATAAATCTATTTAATGAGTTATGATTATAAATATATATCTGGCTGATATAAAATGCAATAACGTAAAGCGCTATATATTTTTTAAATGTCAAGATTCTAAAGCAAAAAAAAGTCGAGAATAACACCAAATTTTAGAATCAGTTTAGATTTGTTCTAATTGGCCACCTTTGGCACGAATTATGGCCTTCAAACAGCCGACAAAGCCATCACACACTGCACGAAAGTGGCTCTGCAGTATTTTGGCCCATATCCGGCGAAGTCCCTTTTTGATATGATTGACACTTGATGTATTTTTAGTGCAAACTTTACTTTCCAAAATGCCCCAGACGCAAAAGTCCAACGGATTAGGATCCTGAGATTTTGGTGGCCATTGCGTGGTGGAAATGAAGCGAGGAACCTCCTTTTAGAATAGAAATTTTTTTCCTTAATATAGGTACGAAACTCAAAACTAAGTAAAAACCAATGCTGCCGTCATAAACTTCCCAAAAAAACTCGAATTTCCTCATGACCCAATATATTGGGTCAAGTAAAAAGTTCGCTTCGTTTATTTAGTGAAACTCAACAAGTTTTTTTGTAGGGTGAAAAAAAGATTATTCAAACTTAATATGCTTCATTAATATCGACAATATTTTTCCATTTTTCCAACTTCTGTGGATTCTGGTTGATAAACTGAATCAAGTGCTTTTTGCAAGATCTTTTTGAAATCAGTTTAATTCCGTTAAAATAATTTTCCAGAAATAGGAATGATAGTTAGTCAGAGGGGTATGTCTGGGGTATACGGTGGATGCATTAAAATTTCTCAACTAAGATTTCGCAACTTTTGGCAGGTCATCAAATAAGTGTATGGTCGGGCTTTGTTATGATGGAAGACAATATCTTCAATTGAGGTCTTTTTTTTAATTGTCTGGCGTAATCTCTCTGTTTATTTACAGTAGGATTAATAATTAATGGTCTGACCAACTGAAAATAGCTCACGATTGATGATTTTTTTTCCAATCCCACCACAAACACAGCATCACCCTTTTCAAAGTCATTCCCGAATTTGTAAACGTTTGTCGTTGCTCATCATCATTTAACTATGATTTATTTCGCTTCCTCATGCCGATTGTCGTATATAATCTAATTTTTCTTATCGGTTATGAAATGTTTCAGGGATGTTTCGATTTCATTGCATTTCAGCAGCGTATTCCAGGCGTTGATTCGGTCTATCAAGATCTTCGCGCCCAACTCATGAAGGTCCCGCACATTGAGCTTCCTTTTGTACTTAGCTTTATGTAATTGGTTCAAAACAGTTTTCTGATCAATGTCTAGTTCCCACCTAATGTCGACAGAGCTGATTTACTTATCTTGTTCTACTTTTATAAGAATTTTATCAACTATTTCAGTGATTCGACGAGCGGAGCGTGGCACATCTTTCACATCAAAATTACCAGATCGAAAGCGAGCCATTTCCGAGCAGCAGATTTTGTTGAAGTACCTTCATCTTATACAGCATACTTTATTCATAAGCCTGCGCAGCGTTCTTCCCTCTATCATAATAATATTGCAAAATATAGCGATAGTTTCATAAGTTTTCTCAATTTTCAAACACAAATAACATTTCAACCACTTGACAAATTTCTTTGATGGTACCATCAAAATAATGCTCGAAGTGCCACCTTTCTAACGAGTGCCGCTGCGATCTGCACCTCCTGAATTATTTGGAACGAAAGCCGTCTATCGCGGAAAACGAAACGAACTTTGTACTTTACCCAATATTTTTTTAATTATTTTCATTGTTACTCTTTTTGTAACTAAAGTACAACAATTTTTGAAATGTGTGATCAAAGTGATTTATCAAAATTCTCATTTTCAGGGGGCAGCATTGAACGTCTTTGTGAATTGGCTTCAAGTGACTCGTTGGGAGATCGAGGAGCCGTTGTTCGAGCTGCGAGGACGCTACTCTCATCGGTAACCAGGGTATTATTGCTTGCAGATATAGTGGTGGTCAAACAACTTTTATTGGCTAAGGATAAGGTAATGTATCATTAAGAGTACGAGATCGAAGCATCATTCTTAAAGATGCGAATTAAAAAAATAGTTCATTCATATCCATGCAGAATTATTACTGGCTAAAATTGAACTGCATATACACAGTTAGTGACATAATTATTAAATGCAAAAATACTGCATTTTGGCTCAGATTTTTATTTATATGTAGAACAGCAACGTTTGATCGAATAGAGCTAATTCCTAAAAAATATAAATGGATATCAAAATAATTGCTCACGAATCTTTTAGACGTCCTTTTAGTAATAAAAATATGAACTATGTACAACTGTAATTACAATATGCCAATATATATTTCATATTTTAATTAGGTGGCGCACAGTTTGGGACGATTGGAATCGGTAACCAATTTTACGGAGTTTGTAAAAGCGTTCTCGGTATTTGGTGGCGAAATGGTGGAATTGGCGCATTTGACCGGAGATCGACAAAACGATTTGAAAGATGAAAGACGTCGTGCTCAAATGGCGGCCGCCAGACAAGTATTAGAGAGATCTACCATGGTGCTTTTAACATCATCAAAAGTAAGTAGTATCATAGTATCAAAGGTATGAAAGATCAAAAAATCGAAAACATTGTTATAAAAAAGTATTTATTTCCACATCGTTATTAACTTTGATACAATAAGGACGCACTAGCAATTCTTTTTTAACTATAGATATTGTAGAGATTTAAAAACAAAAATTTCTTTGCTCACAGATTATTACTAATGCAACAAAAGCAGTTGTACCAAAGATTTAAACTTTTCGATTTGCTGTCGCAGCAACATCAGAAGTGATATTAAATTTTAGGTTTGAAATAACATAATTACTACAAATTGCATACATTATTAACTTTCCGTAGAATAGTTGTAGTAATGGGCCGAAAATCGAAAATGAATTTTTTTTCATTTTTCCACGTTTTGAAAATTTCTGAACATTTTGGCATAACATACAATTTTCTAACGTTTTGTGTGTCCGCTTTTTTTCGGTTACGTTTTCAAGCGTACGGATCAACCGATTTGAATGGTTCAAAAAACATTCGATTCCTATTGATACGGAGATGTGCTGATTAGTTTTTGGCAAAGGCAGGTCCAGCCGTTACGGAGATAAAGTGCAAAGAGTGCAGAAAATAGAAATCGAGTTTTTGAGAGAACGGAGCATCCGATTTGAATGATCTAAAAAACATTCAATTTGTAATAATTGGGAGAAGTCGTGATTAGTTTTTAGCAAAGGCAGACCCAGCCATTTTGAAGATACTGAGCTAAATGTACAAAAAATGACAGTTTTCAAAAGAAGTAAGCATTAATTTAATTGATTGAACAACAACTGTTTTATGAAAATAAAACTTCTTTCATTGTAAATTAATTTCTCTACATTTCCTCCGATTTGGTTTCACTCTTACAATTATTTTTTATGCTGCAATTGCATATAATTTCACTTTAGGCATAACTATTTGAGAATTGCTTTAGAATAGTTCTTGCTGTAAAATAGTATTTAATCTAATTGAGATAAATTTCATTATTATATTGCAGACATGTTTACGGCATCCAGACTGTTTGGCAGCTAGAGAAAACCGTGACACCGTCTTTTGTCAAATGAGACGAGCAATGGATCTTATACATTATGTGGTAAAGGATGGAGTACTAGAAGTTGCTCAAGAGAGGATGGTACTTAGATCAAATCCACAGGTCATTTTAGAAGTATTATTTGCTATGAAATTATTACTGTGCATACAATATGATAGAATTTGATTGAGCAATATGTATCATTTTTTTAAGTTCATATCTTTTTTCAGAATGAAGAGTGGGGAGGTGAGCATGCAACGGTATGCACAGCCTTAAGACATTTTTCTCAATTGGTGGAAATGTGTACAACGCAGTTGCCAGGCCCAAGTCCACGTGAGCAGCTAAACGCTGCTTTGGATTCGGTAAATATTTGTTTTTGATTGCCGATAGTAAATTGATTGCTGATAATGAAATAGTTGTAGATAGTGCTTTTGTCATCAAATCGGATCACTAAAAGACTTTAGCAGAACGATACACTAAGTGTTTACCAAAAATGTTAATTACGATGTTGTATATTCATTTGATTGTAATGGCTAAAGCGTATTGAAAATTATAGCAATATTGAAAACAGTAATCCTTAGCTATTTTATTTTAACCTCTCGTCTACCTAATTTCCAGTGCTACATAGTTTAGTATTTATTCACTTCAATATTATGATAACATTTTGTATTTTTTTCTACTATTTTTGTCACAAAATCATGTTACGAGATCTGTATCTATCTACAAACCATATATTCCTTATTATTAACAAAATGTAAATTCTTGCAGGTCGTAGAACGTACACAAGATTTTACAGATAGTGCATACACAAGCCACGAACATCGAGAAAATATACTTTTGCTCTGTGATAGAACTAAACTTGAGCTTATACAATTACTCAGAGTAGCTGTTAATATGGTAAACTGTTTAGAAATAAAGCACTACATGATTGGTCAATCTCTGAAAATAGATTTGCGATTTATTTAATTCGATTTAAGAAAAATCTAAAAACTTATACATATCAAAAATTAATAATATAAGCACCAATATAAGTTCACACAATGGCGATCATAAACCTTTTCAGTTTCTAATCACCTTGTTCTAAAATAAATGACACCAAAGTTATCAATTATGATGCTAATCAAATCAAAATCAAATAAAATTTTCATATCATACAAGTTTTCTATTGAAAACTTTGACAAATAATTTAGGCGAACAAGAACATTTAATTGTTTTTTTTTTCTAATCATCTATGTTATCAACGGCATTTTTTTTTTTTTGAATGATCTTAAATAAATCAGAAACAGAACAAAAATTAAAATCTACGTAAATCACGAAATTTATTCGTAACTATTGTATTATTTGTATATGCCTATTTTTTCTGTATAACATCTAATGCTATAAAATAACGAATTTAATGCTTTTTAGGAACAATATCAATTAGCATCGAACGACTTAGAGATTTCGGTGCAGGCGGTGATTCAGGCCGCCCGCGATCTGTCCCAACAACTGGCGCTGACAGCGCAAGAACAGGCACAAGATTTAGGACCCGTAACTAAAACGGCATTAGATTTAATATCTAGTTTACGAAATTTTGCTCTTGCTCAAGAACACGAACAATTGCAGAGTTGCGGAAATAAATTCCACGAATGCATAGATCACACACTAGAAGTAAGTATATCGAAGTAACAAATAATATTACTAGGAAAGTAGCCAAATATGGAATGGTGATACTATAATAAAATCTTCCAAAATAGTAACTAAACTAATTTTAAATTATATTTACCCCGTTATGCTACCCAAATATAGTAACTTACAAGTACAAGTAAATTACAAGTTTTTCCATTATGTAATAGTTATTGTTAGTTCTATTTTTTTTTTCAAATTATTATAAAGATGGTGTGAAGTACATTATGATCATATGTTGAAAAGAGATTAAATTTCAGAAATTCATTTCTGAAGTTGCAAAAATTAGAAAAACTGGCCAATTTGAGGAAAAAATATCCTTGATAATCTAATAACGTAATATGAACACTTTCATATTAATCATTAGAATTATTAATATCATTGGAATATGACTAGAATTAGCGTAGTCTTTAACGCACCATTCTCTATATTTTCTGCTCTCTTAAAAAACCGTAAAAAGCTGCATTGGACAAAAAATGTAAAAAATTTGAGACGAATTTATTGAAAACAAGTTTGGCAAAAACTTATAATCAATATTTGCTGCCCAATAATTGGTAATTAATAAATGAATCTTGGGTGTGAAGCAATTATTCCTTGGTTAGGACAGCCGTTTTATTATTTGATCGTTTTTTATTTATTAATTAAATTGGTCTTGAACTATAAGTTATATAATAACAGGGTTAAAACATTAAAACGTTAAATATTTTAGCAAAGTAAACAAAAAATATCGTTCTATATTTGGCTGCTTTCTTATGCCTAATTACCTGGATGTAATCTAACTAGTTTTAATTACAGATTTGCAAATTAATGCGTCATATCGCACTGTCAGAAACTTTGCAAGTTTCTGCAAAATTTACTGAAATTAATCTTAGGATTTATGGACCACAGGTAAATAATATAGAATTATTTTTATAAAATTATTATAAATAATTTTTAAGTAAAATCTAATTAAAAAATGAATAATAAATAAAAGTAAATATTAGTAATAAAATTTTAATTGTCACATCTATTATCTGGTACTAACTCTAACTACACCTCATACGAAAACTTTACGCTGGTTGTTACTCCGATCGATAATTATCTAACTTAGTTCTATTTTAAATATATCGGAAAATTATATTTTCATGAAATATTTAACTTATAACTATTTTCTTAGGAGTACGACTTAGGATTTTTACGACTTTGCTATCGGAAGATAAACGGCAATAATTGAAAATGTATAATAAAACTATTTTCTTACGTTGTTAGTTTTTTTTGGTTGTGAGCACTGTTAAGTTTACGAAACCTTAATATAATTTTTAGGTATACCTTATTTAATTGTTAATAATAATGTTGTTAATTGCTAATTTTAAGTTGGATTCAACAGTTTTTGTTATATAAGCTCTATAAATGCTTATACGTGAGTGGAGTAAAATGAATTAACTAAACCTTTAGCATGGCAAAAAGGTGTAAACAATAAAAAGTAGTAAATAAAAATAAATTAGGTAAAAACATGTAATTTTACAAGATATAAATTAAATAAATAAATATTCCAACCCTGCTGATGAAAATTTCTGACAAAATACCAGATCAAGGTGTAACTAATATTTCATAAAATCCCTTCAAAATTAGAAACGAGATATCGGATCTTTTTTGCCACTAGCGGTCTCATTTTATACTGCCTGTTGGGTAAGAAGGACCAGGTGATAAATTTTTGAAAAACAGCAAAAAAAACATGTTTTTACAATTATGAAATAGCTAAGAGTTTCAAGACTCGGTCAGTTTCTTGTTTGTTTGATATGTGTTATTTGTTGGGACATAATTGGTTTCACAATATAATTGTGAAAATCAAATTGGACCTTTGTGCCCCGTCCCACCTCATATATGTATATATATTTCTTATTATTATAACAGGTTGTCACAGCGTCTCGTGCTTTGGCGACACATCCGTCTTCGAAAATCGCAAAAGAAAATTTGGAAGTTTTTGCAGATATGTGGCAATGGTTGGCAAACGATGTAACAACATTAGCAAAAGAAGTTTTAGAATTAGCTCAAAGCAGACCCGATAAACAAGTGTATATGTCATTGCCCAGGCGCGGAGTGAGTTTTTTTTTAAATATAATTAAAATTAAGTTAATAAATGATCATGAAAAATAATATTTTTATGATAAACATGATAAATAACACAAATTTTAATAAAGTATGAACATAAATTTTATTAAAAAAAGAAAAATGTTTTAATTAATGCATACGAGCTGCCCGATTTCAAATGACTCATTCGGGATACTTGCATGATCCGAATTAAATCGGATCATTCGAGTTATTTGCTTGATCCGAATTTTTCCAATAATTTATATAACTCGCTTGCATGCGAGTTGCGAGCTATTCAACTTCTGAACAGATATTAACCCTTTCCACTCGCAAATTGCGAGATTAATAAGTATTTTGCCACCGGAACGACTACACACGAGTTGAAAGGGTTAATACTTAATTTTGATAATAAATATGTGTTTTGGAGATCATATATCAATTCAACAGTTTTAGAACATGAATTCAAATCAGATTTTTTTCTGATTCGAACCAGGAAATTTTCGAGCCGTTTGTTAATTCTAATGTATAATTCTAAACTAAACTAATGTTTATGATTTACATATACGCAGAAACATGGAACAACGACGAAACCTCTAAAAGCATCGCGGTTAGACCAGGAAGAACAGGCTAAAATTGCTAAATCAGGTCTCGAAATGAAACTTCTAACAAATGAAATGGATGCAGAAACAAATAAATGGAATCATGCCGTTGATGACAACAACGATATCATAAAAAGGTAATGGTGATTCAGAAACAATTCAAGAACATGATATTCATATTATTATTTATCTAAACATTTTATAATACAAAATTATATTTCAATTTTACAGAACAAAAAATATGTCGGCGATGGCATTTTCAATGTATCAATTTACTAAAGGAGAGGGTGTTCTCAGAACCACTCAAGATCTATTCACCCAAGCCGAATATTTTGCAGAAGAAGCAAATCGATTGTACAAAGTTGTTCGTCAATTTTCATATCAGGTTCGGTATTATGCTGCACTATAATATTTATAGATGATTTCTAAATTTTGGCTTCATGTTTCAAAAGACTAAAGATTGCTATTATTTGTAATTTTTATCATATTTATAATAATTAAATCTTTCTATTAGCTAAATTTCCTATGTTTTACAGGTTCCGATAGGGTCGCAAAAGAAGGAGCTGTTGGAGCATTTAGACAAGGTGCCCACCTACGTTCAGGCTTTGCAATTTACTGTAAAAGACCCGACTGTTGGAAAAGCGGCAACATTTGTTAAAGTTGATAATGTAATACAGGAAACAAAAAATCTTATGAATGTGATATCCAAAGTGGTGACAACTTGCTTTGAATGCGCTACTAAGGTATTTATAATGATTTACATTATAATTTCAATTAAAAACAAGAATAAGAATAGGTAATCAAAAAATTATCAATGGAAAGGAAGATCTATCAGAATATCTTTTTTTTTCAAAAATGCTACTTAGTTAGTTACTATTTAGTTGTTAGTGAAAATATGTATGAAGAAACGTTTGTGTCGTAAACATTATATTCAATCATAAATTAACATTTTTTGACTATGTGACTAATTACAAATGCCTAAATGAAATAACTTAGCCTTGGAAATCCATAGAGATTTACGTTGAAAGAACATTATCCTCTTCGAGTGTTACTTCTGAGTTTTTTATCTCTAATTATATGTAATGGAAACAAATGGAAATAATTGTTACATCAATTATTAATTGCAAGTTGTGTGGCGACATTACAAGTTATATGCACAAAATTCAATAATTGGGAATGCAGCAGCAGAGTTATTCGCAAAACTTTGATTCATGTTAGAACGTTCGGTGTGTAAAATTTTATATGCCATGTAAATCTGAAAATATAATTTTAATCAATGGCAATATTGACACAATTATCTAGAAATCATATGATGTATACTTTCATTGAAGTATTTGTATATTAACTACGGATTTTGATTAGAACATTTCAAATTTAATTAATCGACAGCAAATTGAAACAGCGCCGTATTTATGACCAAAATCTAGATATTTTTTTGTTAATTTAGTCTACTCAGAATATGAATTCCAATATTAAATTTTCAACGCGTGTATTTTTGGTAGTTATTTCCAAGTATTACACAAAAAGTTTATTATAGTTGGAGAACATGCTTATCTCTATTTTTCAAGTATTTTGTCCTGTTTCGCACATGATTTCAAATTACCTTTGGATCGAATCGAAACCAACGTTTGCGGCTGTCTTATCATTTTAGCATATATTAGAAACAATTGGCGTATGCACGTGTGTTTGATGGTAAATTGTATGTATGTTCATAAACAATTATTCACTATGTTTTGAAGAGGATGGATCAACAAATCTGATTGTCTGTCTGAAACAATCTGACGATTCAATTCAATTTGAATGAAACGTTTGATTCAAACCAAAGAATCTTCTGAATTATACCTTCGTTTTTTTATATTATTATTAACAACGTATTGCGCATTATTACTGGAATTATCAATGTATTAAAACTACAAATAGTATCACTTGGCGATGCCAGAACGTGTGGAATTGTCGTGGCCGCCTCCTAGATTAGCATCGTCAATGTCTCAACCGGCGTCGGCGCGGGTTTATGGCACTTTTTGGTAAAGAAACAAGCTGGCAGCGAAAACTGACTTCGACGGAAAAAACTTTCCAATTGCATCTTAAGCTTGAAAAGCTACCAACTAGGTATTCGACAAGTTTTCAGTCTTGAGCTTCGAGCATGATATTAACTCAACTAACGTGCGTGTTGTAAAATTCATTAACAAAGAAAATGAATCAAGAACTCAAAATGTGAATGTAGATTTTTCTTCAAGATATAATTGTCGGTCCTCATTCAAGCATTTTTTAAAGATACGTCTTGAATATTGAAAATATTAACCAAGGTCGAAAATGATGATAACTAACAATTATTTGATAATGATTTTATTTTTTGATAATGGCACGATAATGGTTTTATTTTTGCTCAAATTAATAAGATTAATACTAGTGTTTGCAAGTGACTAGCATTTCTCATGCAGAACTACACTGTGTTGAAGTACATATTACTAATTAACTGTGTTAACAATTTTGTTTTTCATTATTACAGTTATACCTTCCAATACGTACCTAATTCGTTACGAGAGAAACATCGTTATACAGAAAATTCGCTATGCAAAACGCGTTTTTCCATACAATACATGAAAATAAAATTAATTCGTTCTTTAGTTTGAAATATATTTTTTTCTTTTTTTTTATTGTTTCAACAGCAATCAGAACTCTTACTTTACATGTTTGATAAGCTGTTCGTTGAAGACTTATGACCTAACGCATTTTTATGAGAGGTATACCATTCTCTTACATAGTTTATATTAGCTCTTACGTCTAATAGCTATCATATGATTGAATGATGCAACTATGTTCACGAAGGACGATTTCCACTTGAAATTATATTGTGATCTATAACCCCAAGTGAAAATTTGACATCAAAGTTGCCTCATGTCGGGCTACGTCGGTAGCGGGAATCGAACCAGCGAACCCGGGATTAGTTGAAGCTAGCCCACGTTCTAACTGATATCGCCACCGCTGGCCAGTTTGAAATATGATCGAAGAAATAAGATTCTTTTACATATAATTAAGACCAAAAAAATACTAAAAAAATATTTACGAAATAAATTGTTATCAGAATTGTGCTGCTGCCTTTTTTACTCTTTTAGCTTCGGAATTTTCAAAGAAACTGTCGACAGTTGTTTCTTTTACTTTCTTATTTAAAACCTACCGCAACTGATAGGAAATCTTATCATTGTACTTTCTGATCTCTTAAGCTTCAGTCATGTTTGAAAAGTAAACATTTATGAATTCTTGCACTTCTTTCTATTTGACCAAAAAGTCCTTTATTGACTTTATACACTAGAAATCAGCTGACTGGTCTTTTCTTCCTCGATTTTTGATCATGCACTTTCTAAAATTTCTCGAAGCCTTTGGGTCCATGCGAATTACAACATAACGAGATGATGTGAGAGTTTTTTTCTAGCAAGAATACTTCCACAGCGAGGGCGAAAATTCCACTCTTTAAACTAATTGGGCAACGTATTTTTGACTAAAAATGACAACGGTTCATACATTATGCGAAGCAAAGTCTGTTGTCTGGAACAATCGCGTCCGAAATAAAAAGTTTTTATGCGCAGCGTCCATTGTGCGAGGTATCACTGCATTATGTGCGAGTATCACTTTTGGTGCGGCAGAAAATGATTTTAATTATTTTAGCATTGCCTAAAATTTTAAAGTGTTTAGGCGTTAGATTTAAGCGAGAAGCTAATGCCTTTCATTACTAATTTTTAGTTAAATCAAATTGAAGTATGTACTTAGTTCTATTTTAAAAATATTCATGCCTAAACATGCTTATGCACTAATATCAAAAATCATGTCACCTATATTGTAACAAATACTTATATTACACGTTTAAATAAATGTTTTCAATATCAAATACACATTTTGAGAGTTAATTTAATAAAATTCGACGTTGTTCATATGTCATGTATGTATTTCAGTACAAGTTGGACTTCAGCGGGCTCGCTTCGTCGGCGAATCGTCCAGCAGGCGGCGGATTGGGCGCACGTGACGGTGAAGACGGCGGAACAGTGGGGGGCACAGAAGCCGGCAAGACGGGCACTTCGGGCGGGACGGACGCGTCCATGTGACAGTACGGGATGTCCCGCCATCGTGGCGGGAAAGGAGACGCGCGGAGAACCAGGGTTTCGTTTTTGTTGTTCTAAACGACATTCCAATGATAACGTGCAAGTAACATTGATTAAAACGCTATAAAGACGTTGATTAGATGTTATACGTTGAAACGCGTTGTATATGCTTGGGTTTGTTTATATAATTAAATTAGTATAGGTTTTGTACAATAGGTTCATTCTAACTTCTTATGATTCCGTTTGATAAACAATACCAGCTTGTGCGAACGGCAATGTATGTTTGTTACAAATATTGCTCTAACAATAAGAGTATTACTTAGTCTTAGCTTTATTTATTAGTATAATAACAATAAAAAAACTAGCAATAAATTTTGCTTCATTATTATTTTAATATTTATGTTTAAACTTATAATTAGATATGTACGCTTATTTATTTCATATAACTAGCATAATTATTGTTTTTAATGAAAGAGCAATAGCAGTTTATTGATATAAGAATCAATCATATGTATAATTTAAATAGCAAATGAAACAATTTTAGCGCACAGTCAGTCAGTCCTCCAAAATAATATTTGCATTAACTTCTGTAGAAAATACTATACAGTAAAGCATTTGTAAATGTGTAACAAAAAGTAAGGATGTGGATAATTTTGCTTATTTTAAATGAGGATAATTGTAAATAATATCAATAGAGTGGTCAAGAAACACTAAATTATATATGGAGGTCTGCGCGTTTGCCTTCAGTCTAGCTGATAGACCGTTTGTGATGATTCACATAACATTCACGAATCTTGCGATGACATACATTTTATCGATTGGACTATCATGCTAGTTTAACAAAATCGAGTATATGTTATACCGTAGGATATTGAATAAATTCAATGATATAAAAGTAAATATTTCACCAATACACGATTGTATATATAAAGCTATTTTGATAGTAAACGTTGATAATCGATTAAAATGCTGGGGACTGATACCTCAACTAATAATTATCGAAACCAACATTAATAATAATGAAAATTAGTTTTTGTAACATACGGCAACAAACAATTAGTAATAAAAATCATCGTTTTTATCCGTAAGTGTTTATATCGTTAATATAAGACGCATGTAAAGAGTATTTATTTGATATATTAAATTTGCTAATAAATCTGTTTATTATTCAATAGTCGATAAAAAGCTGTTATAAAAATAGATGTAAATTGGTCTTACATGGAAGATTAATTCCTTACTACTAAAATTACCGATATATGACAGGTATTCAATTACTGCCATAATAAATTATAAAAGAAAAATCATTCAAGTTAAAGCGTCATCACGCGTTCGTTAAATTATTCGGTAGGTTTACTGGTAAGAAGCATATCAAGCTTGCGTACAATAAAGTCAATCAAATAATACTATTTTAGCTATCAATAGTTTCTGATACTTTGTTTGAAGCAAAACACAGATTTCAGGATAAAAATCACAAATAAATACATAATCAAAATATAAAAAAAATGTTATATGCTGGCCCAACCAAATCCGAATATAGTTAGACAATGAGCTCAATAGTATTATGAATCACAAATTGAGTAAATAACCAATTATAAATTTATATCTTGCAAAAATTGAGTTGATTTTATCCCTTTGCACACAGAAAATAGATTTTTTTCGGAAGTTTCAGCTTTATACATTTCCAATTATAGAATTCTGTTTTGATTATTTAACATTACAGGTAATACATAAATTATTTGTATCTTTAAGTCCAAATACGAAATATTACAAAAACGAATATAAATCAACTGTTCGATGCAGCATTCACCAATTATGCAACTAAGCTTACACATGAAATACTTAATCAAGGTTTCTTTTTTCAAATCCATGTACTTTTTACTTCATTTTTTTCGAAATATTATAAGCCTTTTCACATAACATTTTAAGGAGTTTGTTTTTAACCATCAACGCCGTGCAATTACGGCTTGTAGTTATAGGTTTTATTAAAAATAAGTTGCGATTAATAAAACTACCGCATTTTCACAATTGAGATCTCATCCGCCTCTTTATCCCAACGAAATACAATGTCAAAAAGTATGCAGAAAACTAAAGCTTTAATATTCTCTACAAATAGCATGTTACATACCAGTTACATAAATACGAAACGCAATATAGAAATAGTATGTAAAATTTAACAGCTCAAAATTATCGTTGAAGTTTCTAAATGTCATATACATTTCATGATAATACACTAATTTGGATTATAATAATACGCATATATTTCACGATAAATGATTGACATGAGAAAAAAACCTCATTAGGATTAGGAATCCGAGGAATTTATTTGCGTTTACACAATAGTACTAAATATGATTCAACCACTTGATTTTGAAAACTACTTTGATAACCATACACATATTAAAAAAGCCATCGAAATTTCCATATTGTAATTTAATAAATATCTAATTTATTGATCAATTATCAATATAACAAGTTTATGTAAAATACCTACCAAGTATAGAGAGATCTTTTTAATGGGCCGATTCTCCCGCCCACCAGACCAATGTTATGACAAGGCCATGTTACGCTCCAACTTTCATACATTATGCTACTGAATACTGTTAAAATGTCATGTATTTGCTGTGCATTCAGGCGTTTTATACATAAACTGCAACGTCACTTGTATGTTATAAAATTGGGTCAGAAAGACCCTGTTATCTAAGATCGTTTTTTGACGTTTGTGCGGTTTCTAGACTGCACAGCAACCACATGGCTTTTGTCAATATTTAGTATGGAAAGTTCTTTATAAAACATAGCCTTGCCATAACATTGTTCTATTAATATCTGGTTGAGAGTACTGAAGTATCAAAATGTACTAATATAAATATTTCAGAATAAACCTAAATTTTTCTACACTTGCAAAGCATTAGGCAAAACTGTTTATTGTTTTTAAAAATTAATACCAATTGTAAGTAATTATTTTGGCTCATGAACACCATAAGTACCAGTAGTATAAACATTTTACTTATGTAGTGAAAGATTATAAAGTCATTTTGTATAAAATTGTCAAACATTAAGTACAATATTGTTGTAAAGATTTAACGTACATTCTTTATATGTAGTACCTCAATATTTAGAAATTAAATTTAAAATTATTTCATTTTATTTTCGGCATAGTGAATAGGCTGCATATATATATATATATATATATATATATATATATATATATATATATATATATATTACAAAACTATAGTTATATTATAAATTATAGTTGCGAGAAGTTTTGATAATTTTAACAGTCAAGTTCCAAAATATCATGTTAATATATTATATGCACGTATATTTTTTCATTGAAGTTCACGTTTACAACTAGATCATGTTGTTTAGTTTTTTGCCGTCAGTAGGACAAGCTTTTTTACCCACTATTTTAAGTACCCACATAACTAGTATTTTGCAGTTTAAATCAGCTTCTGATATTTTAAAAATGGGTCAATAAAATTAGGGTATATCATTATTATTATTATTATATGTTGACGTATATTAGATGCAATAAATAAAAATAGTGTTGCAATAGTATGTTATACGTAGTATAAAACAATATTTTTTATAAACAAAGATAGAATAATTTTTTTTAGAAGTTATTTTTCTACGACTTACTGTTAGTAAACATAGTCTTGAAGACAATATTTTAATTTTAACTGAAGTTCCAATATATACACCAAATCAAATATAACACCGTATTTGTTAAAAAAAATAAGAGTCACATAATATTATAGTACGATCTTTTTAAATGAATAAATATAATCGATTGTGAATTTCGTCGGGCAAATTAAAATTGATTTTTTAACAAGTTTTTATAATTTGATAAAATATAGAAGGCCTCTCTATTATATTCATGCAGTATTTTTAATCCGCATTGTCAAAAAAGTATTCATATTAAATTTTATTTATAATTTTACAACTATATCAGACGTATTACTTGCGCCTAATATCATACGGAAAAACGTAATCCGCACTTTGGAATAATATGTGTTGATATTATAGTTAATAAATTAATTAACAATGTAAATTATCGTAATACTTATTCAAAATTATTAACAATATTAATAAAACAATTCAAAATGTCAATAGCGCTCTGAAATTTAAAACTTTCAAGTTTACATTTTATTATATATATTTTATTTCCATTAAAATGCTCTACTCCTAACAACAACCCATAATAATTAAATACTCAAATTAAATAAGCATATTGTCAAAATTATACTTATAATTAGCTTATAATTTTTAATATCCTGGTCATAAATGAATTCAATATAAACACAGTGTAACTGGCATTTTGCCTTAAGCTAAGTTGCCTGAACTTCCCGATATATGAAAATAATCGAGTTTAACAATAATAATTGAAATCTAACAAATAATTTTTCGGCTTCATAATTTTCAAAAAAAAATTGTTCTCAACTGTTAATTCCGAAAGTCGAAGACTTTTCATTTAATAGTCAAAACCAACAAGAATCGCATGCTACCAAATAGTTTCTAATTAGCAATTTTTTTTAAATTTTTTACAAAAATTTACAATTTTTAAAATTTTATTAGCATTTTTACTCTTAGCTATATTTATCTGTGTTAAATAATTGTATATTATAATTATAAAGAAATTCTTAATTATAAAGAAATTCTTTGGTCAATTGAAAAGTAACCTTTCAAATAGCTTTGGAATTTTTAAAATAGTGAAAAAAAAACAGATAAATACAAACAAGTGACTTGACAGATCTTTACCTTCTAAATTGATTTCTTGCTTATAATTTTTTTCAATGAGAATAGTTTTCAAATTTTCGAAATCAATTCAGGATTTTTGCAAAAACGTTGAATTTCTAATTGCAAAGCAACGGCTCGACCGATAATTATGTAAAACTGACCAAAGCAAGTTACAAATTATCAAACAACTTATAAATTTTTAAAATCGATGCACCCGTTTTTTATGAAACGTCGGCGAAATTAACGTTTTCATGCACATAATAACA